AGGAAAAATGGACTGCTTCAAGAAAGCGTTCTTGCACCTTTCTTCTGTAATATTTACACTAACGACTTGCCAGATCACTCTCATACAAGGCTCTCTATTTATGCTGATGATATGACGGTAGCTAGAAGCTAGAAGAGATTTTGAAGACTTCGAAACGAAATTGTCGGCTGAGCTGAAAGGACTATCAGAGTACTACAGGAAAAATTAATAAAAAAATAAAAACCTAAATAAAACATAAGTCTACGCCTTTAATGTCAATAGTTCAATCAATAGTTTTAATATAAAATCAATGTTCATTCGCCTTTCTACATTCCAACTGATCTTCTTAATGTAATGGTACAATAATTATGACATTCCATATCTGTTAACTGCTTCTTCAACCATATCTTTGTTATTAGCTCATGTATTGTTTTAAGTCATCGTCTACTTCTTCCTTCAGTAGCTTGGATGCTATTTGATCCCATCCCGATGATTTATTGTTTTTTAATTTATCTCCAGCTGTTCTAATCTCATTAGAACAGCTAAATGTTCTTCAACTAAAATATACCATTTATCTTGTGTATAATAGAAAAGCTTCGTTGGATACATAAAAACTATTGAAAACCTCTTTCAAAACAACCATATGAAAGTCAGAATAGATGGACAACCTACGAAACCTATTTATAGACTGCCAACGGCAACATGGTTACTCATTAATGCCTATGCTCTTTAACTTAATCATTAAGAGCCTAAAGACATTAAGAGCATTAACAAACAATTTTTTGTCTTGATGTTGGTCGTCCACAGATCGTCCATCGGGTATGGAAAAAGCTTTGATTGCACCACTGTAGCAGGTGTTTATGTCCTGTCGTTACCCGCACATACATAAGGTATCATTTTCATCGAGGTGGCCCTAACTTGCTCTCTTGATCTTCACAGCGACCACCCCGATCTCATTTAGTTCAGTATTGACCTTTGACCATGTTCTCCAGTCGCTGTTTAAACCAGTCGTTATTTCTGAACAAGAAAGAACACGCAGAATTTTTTATAAAGATGAAGAAAAAGAATATAATTATTTTATATTATAATTGAAATAATTAATTTTGTTGAATTATTGTATATATAGGAAACACATATTTGCTAGGTATAATTTAAAATCATCCTTTTGTGATATAATACAGTTTATTCTAATTGCTATTGATTATTTTAACCATGGGTGTATATTTTAACTAACGTTTTAAAAGGTCTGCGAATTGTTTAGCAAGTAATTTTGTCATTTATTTCCATGGTCAATAATTTTTAGTTATAGTAGTTATCTACAGGCACAATATTTATCTATTTCAAAAGTAGTAGGATAATTCGGGCCATGTACTATATATTTTTTAAAGCAGAAAATGGTTTGAATGGTATTGTTATTTTTCGTATAGCGATAACCAACACTTGATCTTTTATGCCTGATATCCATTCTTCATTTTTTTACATCTCCTTTTTCATGCCTGTTGCTGAATCTTTCCATTAAAATATCTATTCCTTATTTTACACCGTAGATATATCAAATTCAATAGTTTTAATATAAAATATAATGTTCATTCGTGCTTTTACATTCCAACTGATCTACTTAATGTAATGGTAGAATAATTATGCCATTCCACATATATTAACTGCTTATTTAATCATATCCTTGTTACCAGCTTATGTACTGTTTATAGTCATACGTCTTCTTCCTTCAGTAGTTCCGATGATATTTGATTCGATCTCGATGATTTAATGTTCTCTAATTTGTCTCCATCTGTTCTAATCTCGACTATTCTTGGTGGGCTCTTTCCCCTATTGTCGGCTTGGTCTAATGGTATATCAGGGTTCGCTTTGTTCCTTTATCCCTCAAGCTTTTCCTTAAAATGTTCTGTCCATCTTCTTAGTATTTCTTTCTGTTATGGCAATATTTTATCATTCTTATCTTTAGAAATATAGTTGTATATAGGGGAGAGTTGTCCAAAATGGGGACGCTAGTGTATTTTTAGTGATTTACAAGAAGTGAATACTGTAATTAACATTGTTTAAAGTGCAATAGAGTTAGTGATTATAACTTTACCACTAAATAAGTTTTGGCAGACTTATTTTATTTATTACTTGGTCAAAATCTAAAACTATGAAAAAATGTAAATGTCCCCGTTTTAGACCACCGTTCGGGTAAAATGGGGACCTCATTAAAAACAATGGATTTTTTTTATTTTTATTTTTTTATCTTTTTTAACATTTTAAATACAATAGCACACATTTTAAGTTTATGACAAATACTTATTACACTTGTGACAGGATAAAACATAGACAAAAAACAATTTTAAATTAATTTTTTGTGAGTTTTTAAGTGTTACGTCCACAGAAATCGTACAGGAAATAGTCGTCTTCTTCATCTGCATTTGTACATGCGTCGTGGGCCCAACCAGAGCATCCTGAGCACTTAATCCACCCTTCTTTGTCCTTAGAAACAGAGAAAATCTCACTGCAAAATATACAAGCCTTATCACTGCTCCCTTCTTCAGATGAGGAAGACTCGTTCTGGTTTTCGAACTTCATTTTTTTTAATGTGGGACCAATATCAGTTTTTGGAAGGATTTCTTTATCGCTACTGTTGCCAACTTTCTTCAGTTTTGTTTTATTCAGCATTTTAGACGTTTTAAACAATTTTTTTGGGTTTTTTTTTTCATTTTTATTTTTCTTTCTTAATCTTCTAGTTCTTTCTTGTAAGGTGAAGACGTCAAAACTGCGGTTTTGATCGATGCTTCGAAATTTGATGTTTTTTGAGGCTTGTCTGGTTTTGGGTTTGAAAACTTAACAAATTGCTTGAACCAAACTAAAAAAAGCTCTCTGTTGTAATCCATCCTGTTTCATGGAAGAAAGCAAAGGATCCTGCTGAAGCATCGTTCATTAATGTAGGATTTTCTCTTTTTCGTGGAAATATAAACATTGTGGGCATATAGTTTCCAGCAGCACTCATACAGGTCTCGGCTGTCACTAGTGTTCCCCTTTCAGATGAAGCTAAAGCACCTACTTGTTTCTTCCCCTCAGCGCTACAATTTTTGATGCCTTATTAGGAACCGTCGTGATTCCTGTTTCGTCAACATTATAGATATCTTTAGGGGAAATGTTATATTTCTTTAATATATCTTCTAACAGGTCGAAAAAATTATTAACTGTATCTCGATTGAATTCCTTAGCTCGCGCCAAGAAAGTTTGCTCCGGAAAGCGCAGCGAAAGTCATGGGATGCCTTTTTAGAAATGCATACAGAATCCTTTCGGTGCCCCATTTGCCCATCTAAAACGACTTGCACAGCGAATTTCATGCTCTCTTCATTCCAGCTCTGTCTATTCGTCGTCATTTTGTACCGGCCCATTGTCAGATCTGAAAAAAAAACACATAACTTAGGCTTTATCATTAACACATATAATATAAATCAGTAAATATATAAAAATCATAATCATACATTAGACACAGTTAAAATTCAACAAAAACAAAATTATTTGAAATTAATGCCTATATAAAGTTTTATAGACATAGGATATCTTTGAATACTATTATACATTGATGTAAAACTATTTAATAATCAACACATTTTATAGTCAAGCGTCGGGTAAAACGGGGACGTCACCGTTTTGGACAACTTCAAATGTCCCCGTTTTGTCCGACAGTGCTACATTGTAAAAATATGGCGTTTACCGCACTCCTCGTGAGACTACCAAGCAACATAAATGTGAAATTGAAAGCTTAAAATCTAACAAATTCAAAGAAGTACTTACCGAGTTTACTCCTGCCAGTATTAACCGCCTACAGAACCCACAAAACACAAGAAAATAGTTAAATAAATTTAGAAAAACTTCCGAATACTCGCTGAACCAAGCAGAGATCACTAACTGTTCGAAAACCAACTTGTAATGGCAATATGAACGCCTGCTACTAGTAATACCAATTTTAGTCGCTCTTTGTAGCGTCACTTGACAGAAGTGGCCTGACCCCGTTTGATCCGACGTCCCCTAGTTCTTCTCGATTTTAATTTTTTTTTTGACTTTGTTGAGTTTCTGGTTAAACCTTCTTATCATTGTTAGCTTACTTAGTCCTTGCAGTTTCTAAAGTTCGTTGCTTATATTTCTTCTCTACATAGTTGTTTATATTTCTTCTTTGCTTGTCGGATTCTGCGCCCCTGTTGCATCAGTAAATTTTCTTTGTTTTCATTATATAGACTTTGTATTCATATTATATTATATATATATTACATATATTACATATAATTATAAGTTAAATAAAATAAAGAGACTAATTTTAAATATTTTTCAGCTTTTCAGTCACCCCTATTTGAAAAATATATAGAAGATAAAGAGAAAAATGAGACATTTATTCCACATATTACATCTGTTCTCAAATCACCTAATAATATCTCTGAAATAATTCATTTTGGTGATCCTGTTGTCGTTATTAATCAGAAAGAATCTATTAGTAATGAAGAAATAGACAATGATGAAGAAATAGAGCCCAATGACAAATCGGATGAAATAGATGATGATTCTATTGAAACAGATGATTCTATTACAACAGATGATTCCTTTACAATAGATGATGTCATTACAACAGATGATTCCATCACAACAGATGATTCTATAACAACAGATAATTCCATTACAACAGACGATTCCATTACAACAAATGATTCCATTACAACAAATGATTCCATTACAACAGATGATTCCTTTACAACAGATGATGGCATAACAACAGATGATTTCATTACAACCGATGATTCCATTACAACCGATGATTCTATTACAACAGATGATTCTATGACAACAGACGATTCTATTACAACAGATGATTCTATTACAACAGATGATTCGTATACCACAGAAGATTCCATTACAACAGATGATTCTATTACAACAGATGATTCCATTACAACGATGATTCTTTTACAACAAAGATTCCATTACAACAGATGATTCTATTACAACAGATGATGTCATTACAACAGATGATTCCATTACAACAGATGATTCTATTACAACAGATGATGCCATTACAACAGACGATTCCATTACAACAGATGATTCCATTACAACAGATGATTCTATTACAACAGATGATTCTATTACAACAGACGATTCCATTACAACAGATGATTCCATTACAACAGACGATTCCATTACAACAGATGATTCTATTACAACAGATGATTCTATTACAACAGACGATTCCATTACAACAGATGATTCTATTACAACACATGATTCTATTACAACAGATGATTCCATTACAAAAGATGATTCTATTACAACAGATGATGCCATTACAACAGACGATTCCATCACAACAGATGATTCCATTACAACAGATGATATTATTACAACAGATGATTCTATTACAACAGATGATTCTATTACAACAGACGATTCCATTACAACAGATGATTCCATTACAACAGATGATATTATTACAACAGATGATTCTATTACAACAGATGATTCCATTACAACAGATGATTCTATTACAACACGATGATTCTATTACAACAGATGATTCCATTACAACAGATGATTCCATTACAACAGATGATTCTATTACAACAGATGATTCCATTACAACAGATGATTCCATTACAACAGATGATTCTATTACAACAGATGATTCCATTACAACAGATGATTCTTTTACAACAGAAGATTCCATTACAACAGACGATTCCATTACAACAGACGATTCCATTACAACAGATGATTCTATAACAACAGATGATTCTTTTACAACTGAAGATTCTATTACAACAGATGATTCTATTACAACAGATGATTCTATTACAACAGATGATGCCATTACAACAGACGATTCCATCACAACAGATGATTCCATTACAACAGATGATATTATTACAACAGATGATTCGATTACAACCGATGATTCTATTACAACAGACGATTCCATTACAACAGATGATTCCATTACAACAGATGATATTATTACAACAGATGATTCTATTACAACAGACGATTCCATTACAACAGATGATTCCTTTACAACAGATGATTCCATTACAACAGATGATTCTATTACAACAGATGATTCTATTACAACAGACGATTCCATTACAACAGATGATTCTATTACAACACATGATTCTATTACAACAGATGATTCTATTACAACAGACGATTCCATTACAACAGATGATTCTATTACAACAGATGATTCATTACAACAGATGATTCTATTACAACAGATGATTCTATTACAACAGATGATTCCATTACAACAGACGATTCCATTACAACAGATGATTCTATTACAACAGATGATTCCATTACAACAGATGATTCTATTACAACAGATGATTCCATTACAACAGATGATTCCATTACAACAGATGATTCTATTACAACAGATGATTCTATTACAACAGATGATTCCATTACAACAGATGATTCTATTACAACAGATGATTCTATTACAACAGATGATTCCATTACAACAGATGATTCCATTACAACAGATGATTCTATTACAACAGATGATTCCATTACAACAGACGATTCCATTACAACAGATGATTCTATTACAACAGATGATTCCATTACAACGGATGATTCTTTTACAACAAAAGATTCTATTACAACAGACGATTCCATTTCAACAGACGATTCCATTACAACAGATGATTCTATTACAACAGATGATTCTTTTACCACTGAAGATTCCATTACAACAGATGATTCTATTACAACACATGATTCTATTACAACAGATGATTCCATTACAACAGATGATTCCATTACAACAGATGATTCTATTACAACAGATGATTCTATTACAACAGATGATTCGATTACAACGATGATTCTATTACAACAGACGATTCATTACAACAGATGATTCCATTACAACAGATGATTCTATTACAACAGATGATTCTATTACAACAGACGATTCCATTACAACAGATGATTCTATTACAACAGATGATTCCTTTACAACAGATGATGTCATTACAACAGATGATTCCATTACAACAGATGATTCTATTACAACAGATGATTCCATTACAACAGACGATTCCATTACAACAGATGATTCCATTACAACAGATGATTACTTTACAACAGATGATGTCATTACAACAGATGATTCCATTACAACAGATGATTCCATTACAACAGATGATTACTTTACAACAGATGATGTCATTACAACAGATGATTCCATTACAACAGATGATTCCATTACAAGCGATGATTCTATTACAACAGACGATTCCATTACAACAGATGATTATATTACAACAGACGATTCCATTACAACAGACGATTCCATTACAACGGATGATTCTTTTACAACAAAAGATTCCATTACAACAGACGATTCCATTACAACAGATGAGTCTATAACAACAGATGATTCTTTTACCACAGAAGATTCCATTACAACAGATGACTCTATTACAACAGATGATTCTATCACAACCACATCCGATACAACTGATGGTCCTAATACAACAGACGTTCCCACACAACGCCATCTGACACGTCTGATGTTCCCAAGACCACAGATGATTCCAGTACAACAGATGGTTCCCACACAACGCATCTGACACTGATGTTCCAATACACAGATGATTCATACAACAGATGGTTCCACACAACGCATCTGATACGACTGATGTTCCCAAGACAACAGACGATCCCAATACAATGCCATCCGATACAACTGATGTTCCCAATACAACAGATGATTCCGAAAAAACAAATCCAACGGGGGGGAGCCCCAAAACGACTGCGGCTAATAATCCTACACGCATTGTCACAGACACGCCTACAGATCAATCTTCGGAGACGACACCCGCAGCAACAACTTTGGTGCCACCTTCTACGACTAGTTCAGGTTATTCCCGATTTGTCACTTCGAAGTACCTTCTTCCGTTACTAATGATAGTTATTGCATTGAATAATGATCAGTTTAACCGATAATTAAATTATTGTAAAAGACTCTTATGAAGTAATTATTAAACAGAGAAAAATTCTAAAATATCCTAAATGTGGTTTGAAAGATGTGTTTACACGTGCATGTATTGGAGATACACAAGTATCAACTGCAGTGGCATCTGGTAGAGGTAACTGAATCTTAAGTTTCCGAAATTTACATTGATCTTTCAACCTGGTATCATAAAGACCCCAAAAAAAGAATATTTTGTATCTTTACTTTGTTGTCCCATGAATATGCCAGTTTTAGATATACATACATTTTTATTTTAAATAAATCGTGTTTATATTTTGCTTCTAGAATTAGGAAAATATCTCATTTTTTAATTGTATGCTCGATCACTTAATAATGCCTAGTTAAGAGAATTTAAGATTAATATAATAGTTTGTTACTTAGAATGATTAGGGAATTAATTAAAAACATCAATTATGTTTTAGATTCTTGCAATAAACTTTTGTGTTGAAAGTATATTGCAGCAATATGGATGGAAATTTTTAGAAGAACTTATGTTTAATAATAAAAGCTATAACTGATATCTGAAAAAAAAACTATTTTTGATCAGCATTCTCGACATATTTAAAATAAGCTTTTTTTATTGTATTAAAAAATTCTTTTGTTTTTATCAGACTGTATTATAAATAAACATATAAAACAATCAAATGTTATGTCGTTTCATGACTGTAAGAAATAAGTTTGTATGCTGTAGATAATAATCGTAAAAAATTGGAGGTATCTCCGAAGGCTGTTGCAATTTTGCAGGAAAATAATTTTATAATTAAAAAACATTTTATCAACTACCAAGAAGACAAGTATACACGTGGAAATCTCCTGGGGACACTAAAGACCATATTATACGAAATCAAATAGATTATATAACCATAAACAACAGAAATAAAAACACAATCGAATCTGTGAAAACGTATCCAGGAGCAGATATAGGGTCAGACCACAATCCAGTAGTGGCACAATTCCGAATAAAACTTAAAAGAGTACAAACACCTAAGCCCAAACAAGTAATAGATATCAATCGTTTAAATGATGAAACAATTAAACATCAGGTAGAAACAAGCATTCAGGCAAATCTTGAAAAACTTGAAAAGACAGAGAAGATACAAGAACTAGACATTAATAAACACTGGCCCATTATTAAAAAGAATGTGCTGGAGCCCGCTAAAAATATTCTGAAGAGAGAAAAACTAAAGAAACAGAAAGAATGGATGAGTGACGAAATTTTGTTATTGATGAATTCTCGAAGACTATCGAAAGGTAAAAATGAAGAACAGTATAAGCAAATTAACACAGAGATCAAAAGAAAAATCCGCGACGCTAAAAAACAATGGTTACAAGACAAATGTAAGGAGATTGAAAACTTGGAAGCCAAATATGATTCGTTCTATCTTCACAAGAAAGTTAAAGAAATGATCAACAATAGAAACAGGAAGCAGACAGTACTTATAGACCAACAAGGGAACAGGATAATGGAAACAGAGGAGAAACTAAAACATTCGCAGACATACATAGAAGAACTGTTTGACGATCAAAGGCAGCTCCTTGTGATAATTTTCCAGAGGAGACAGGTCCTAAAATAAGCAAAGAAGAAGTAATGCAAGAGGTGAAGTCATCATCAAAGAATAGCAAAGCTCCAGGATCAGACGAGCTACCAGCGGATATACTAAAGTTAATAGACGAAGATCCATTTGTTAGTAGACTTATTTAACGAAGATTTATGAAAACAGTATAATTCCTGAAGAATGGCTAAGATCAATCTTTTTCCCTCTTCCCAAGAAGGCACATGCTAAGCAGTGCAGTGATCATCGCACGATCAGTCTGATGAGCCATACCTTAAAAATATTTCTCAAAACAATTCACAATAGAATTTACAAAAAATTGGAAGAAGATATCGGAGAAACTCAGTTTGGATTGCGGGAGGGATATGGAACTCGCGAAGCATTATTTCCTTTAACATCTTGACACAGAGGTGTTTGGATGTGAATCAAGATGTATTTGCTTGTTTTATTGATTACAACAAGGCGTTTGATAACGTCAAGCATGACCAACTTTTAGAGATCTTGAAAGCTAAACAGTTAGACACTCGCGATTTAAGAATAATATCTACTCTGTATTATAATCAGAAGGCAGTCGCACGCATCGAAAATAGCACAACAAATAAAATTCAAATTAAAAAAGGAGTTAGACAAGGATGTGTGCTGTCACCAATGCTATTTAATCTCTATTCGGAAGAAAGTTATAAAGAAAGCATTGGAGGAAGAAGAGATTGGGATAAAAGTTAACGGCCAACCAATTAATAATATTAGATACGCAGATGATTCAGTTTTAATGGCGGAGACAGTAGAAGACCTACAAGCCATTTTAAACAAGGTAGTCACAGCTAGTGAAGAGAAAGGGTTAACACTAAATGTCAAGAAGACGAAATTCATGAGTATTTCACAAAAACAAAGATTAAATGCAAACCTGTACATTCACAATAACGAAATCGAACGGGTGCATAAATATAAATATTTGGGAACAAATGTTAATAACAACAATGACATCACAGAAGAAATAAAAACTAAAATTGGAAAGGATCGAGCTGCTTTTGTTTATATGAAGGACATTCTGGGAAGTCATGACATTAACCTAAACCTGAAAATGAGATTGGTTAGATGTTGCATTTTTTCGATACTGCTGTACGGAGTAGAGACTTGGACTTTAAACAAGAGCGATACCGATAAACTAGAGGCCTTCGAAATGTGGATATATAGAAGAATTTCGAAAGATTGCCAAACTTCGTAGCGGAGGGGGCACTTGAAGAAGAAGAAAGACTATAATACGGCGTCGAAATATTGGTTCACATCTGGAAAAATGTTTACCACTTGTTGATTTTATTGTTGTAGCGAGACCTAATAATAATGATCTACTTGTTAGATACAATTAGACAATATCCAATATTTTTAAAGAAATAAGGTGACATTGAAGAAAAATACCCAGATGATACATAAATTCCGCTACACTATTGGTGTCATTCCAAAAGACCTCCACGGTAGTTTGAAACATCTGGTATTTGGTGAATATACCTATAAAACCATGTATGTTTATAAATGTAATTGGTGAGATATTCGTCCTATGATATATGGCGATATAACATAGAAAATCTTGCCTAGGACTCAATGGTATACGTAATGATTATATGAGTCTCATAAAAATGAACTTTCCAATAATGCAAGGTAGCAAAAAAGCAGTATTTCAAGAAGCGCTCTCAGACTCAATAGAAGGTATATCTATCAATGGAGAAGTTTTGAATAACTTACGTTTTGCAGACGATACAGTAATAATTACGGATAACAACAATGATTTACAGAACCTAATGCAACGCCTTAATGAACGCTGTCATGAGTACGGACTGAAGATAAATTTAAAGAAAACTAAATGCATGATCATGACTAAATCTGCACATGCAAATATCCAATTGACTATTGAAGATACTGCAATTGAGAATGTTAATAACTATAAATATTTAGGAACATGGATAACATCAGATGTAGACCAAACCAAAGAAATTAAGACACGTATTGAAATAGCACGTACATCATTTATTAAACTTAAAAAGTTTCTTTGTTGTCGGGATATAAGGTTAGAACTACGCCTGAGAATGCTTCGATGTTACGTGTTCTCTACTCTTCTTTATGGTCTGGAAGCTTGGACACTAAAACAAGTTCATCTGAATAAGCTGGCCGCCTTTGAATTTTGGTGTTACAGAAGAATCCTACGAATATCATGGATTCAAAGAATGTCAAACATGGAAGTAACTAGAAGGATAGGAAATGAGGCGGAAATAATATTAACTATTAAAAGACGAAAACTTGAGTACTTGGGACATGTGATGAGAGGGCAAAAATACGCATTATTACAACTTATTATGCAGGGCAAAATCCGAGGAAAGCGAAATGTGGGAAGACGAAGAATATCCTGGCTTAAGAACTTAAGGGAATGGTTTGAATGCAGTAGTGCAGAACTTTTTAGAGCGGCAGTCAACAGAGTCCGCATAGCCATGATGATTTCCAACCTTCGATAGAAGATGGAACTTAAAGAAAAAGAAGCAAAGATGCTGAGTGGAATACTATAACCAGCCAAAGGGGAACCACCAACGATTCTTAAAGTTAAAGATGCAATTAAACAATTAGCCAGAAACAAATCACCTGGAATAAATAATCTCCCAGAAGAACTATATAAATAAATTGGCCAAGATACCATAGTGGCATTACAGCATCGTATAAAAGAAATATGGACTCAGAAATCTCTCCCAATGATTTTATTATTGAAATACTTTGTACCATATACAAAAAATGAGATATCTTTGGAAGCTCTAACCACAGAAGAATTACGCTTCTAAATGCAGCGTATTTTCCACAGTACTATGTCACCGTATGGCACCATATATGCTTCATATGGTGCCATATGAAGCAAACCGTGCCTTCTAAAACTTGCAAAGCAAACAGCTTGATAAATTACTCAGCAAGATAATCTAAAATATGCATTCCACCTGCCGTTTCCAGGGCAGCAACAAGCCGCTTATACGTATTTCTACCTCTTTAGGTCTCATCAGAGCGGTATATGCCACTGCTCTGAACCGAAACAAAATATATTCCATCGTAGGCCAATAATTATCGAAATAACTATTTGCAGACGTAACAACGCCGTCTAATAACAAGAGAAATCATACGATTTCCTACCTGGCGAAACTGAATTCAAATTTTTACCACTGTGCCTTCTACAACTTGCAAAGCAAACAGCTTGATAAATTACTCGGCAAGGGAATCTAAAATATGCATTCCACCTGCCGTTCATCATGGTCAAAATTCGTAGTGAATTCAGTGTCTATAGAAATTCGTAGTGAATTCAAAATTAAGCAATTAAGAACGAAAAAGTATACTCTAAATGTTTATCTGAGTATGGAAACCAATTTTTCTCGGATAGAACGCAATCACTGTCCATAGTAATTTTAATATAATAGCTGAGCTTTCAATCAATATAGGCCAGCGATTGGCAGATCCTAACTATGTGTTAAAAGAATAACCCCCATCACATGGTACTACAGAAGAAGTGTTTTCTGGAGACACTTTTTATCTACGTAGCGAGAAAAGTGGTTCAGCCCATAAATTTGTTAAAAAACAGCCTTTTACTCCGCTGATAGCTTTGAAACGCTTTGAAACCATCGGCGTTTCGCTTTCCTTTGCTTAGAAATGTGCGTCACTTTTCCATCAACCGTTTTGTTCCATCACTTATTCTGTCTTCTTTATTTTTCGTTTTCTTTGCAACAGTCAGTCTTGCTTTCAAGAGCGTTCGTTACATTTCTTTATTAATTGTGTTCATGTCGGAATATTCTTGTTAATAATGTTCTACAAATTCTTTTCTTAAGACTTCTCTGTACTTATCTCCCTTCTGTCGCATTTTAGTTTGATCTATCTGATTACAATAATTAAGTATGTGGCCTGTTTCTACTGGTTTTCGTCTGTTTAACAAGAATCTTTGCTTTTAAAAGGCGATGATCGCTGCCAGTTGTGAATCGATTGAGAGCAGTTATATCTTCAAAAATGTCTTTGTTCCCACACAAGAAGTAATCGATCTCGTTTTTCGTCTTTTTATCGAAGAGGAAATCGAAACGTCAAAAAATTTTATTTTAAAATTAAATTGTGGCTTATTCCCGATAAAATAGTAATTATATTAAGATACCACAAGAAAATAGCTTCAGAACAATATTAACTATAAGAGAATCGACTATAAACAAAACATAAATCTCAATAAGGTAAATAATATACAAAGACAATTTCATAATTTTTATTTGTGAAATACACAATAAATCTGGAATCTTAAAATTTTCAAAATTTTGTTAAATAACTGATCCAATTCTTCTTGACCTTCTTATAAAAATGGATTTACTACTTACTAACGAATCTCTAAGGTGAAAGTGAAATTTTATATTTGGTCTAGCTTACTTGTGCTGATTATTAGGTTCTTGTTAGTTGTTTAGTTTATATTCTTATAATCTTCATATCTAGTAGGTTCCTGTCTTGGTGATGTAGTAATTTCAAACTTAGAAAAACTGGTCCTCTGATTTGATTGTGGCGAAAGTTTTATTGAGTTTTCTAATGCAGCAGTAATTGGTATTGTCATTGTCACCTGAAGACCATACCTCTTCAGGATTAATTATTGGTGGTATGGTGGTTCCCAATCCAGCAAAGATTAGTCTCTGACTTGCCTGTGGAAAACTCACCACATTTTAAAAATTCTAATGATTTACTTAACTTACTCGTAAATTGTGGTTTTGTACAGGTTAAAGTAAGAAAATTGTTTTAGTCTACAGGCCTAGCTAGAAAAATGTTATCCTCTTCGGCTTTGGGTCAAACAATTAATCTAATCCAGATACTATATTCTTACTCAAAACTAAACTTTCTAATGTATGTTGACATATTAAAATTTCTGCAGTAATTTGTTTATTTCCAGTGGTACTTAAAAAATAATAAGGATAGACTACAGGTCTAGTAGGGTAGGGAATTTCTGGTTTCACCCTTGGTTGCGCAGTCAGGCCTCTGGTCTTATTGAATAATATTAACAGTATAATCAGGAGAGGTCTTGTTAGACTGTAGATTGATGAGTTCGGGATGTTAAGGACTATGGTTATGTGAGGTAGTAATTGAAGAAAAATTAGTTGTGCCTAGTTTAGAAAAACTGACTAAGTTAAGCTAGAAGTTGAATCAGAAGAAGGATTATTGAACTGTGGATAGTTGAGTTCTGAAGGTTTAGGTTTACTAGTCACAATTTGATTATATATAGTAGTTATTGAAGAAAAATTAGCAAAATTTTCAGAGCTCGCTGACCAAGGCAGTCCTGGTAACACCCTTGGCGGTTCAGTTTTTCCTTGTCCAGCAAAACTAGGTCTACTAGTAACAATTTGATTATGTATAGTAGTAATTGAAGAAAAATTAGCATAATCCTGGGGGCTAGCTAGTCAAGGCTTTCCTGGTTTCACCCTGGGTGGTGCAGTTGTTCCCAGTCCAGCAAAACTAGGTCTAGGGTCGGACTGAGTTAAGCTAGGGGTTGAATCAGAAGAAGGGTTATTTACCGGTGGATTAAAGAGTTCTGGATGTTCAGGTCTACTAGTAACAATTGGATTAGGTGTAGTAATAATTGAAGAAAAATTAGCATAATCTTCAGGATTAGCTGGCCAAGGCTTTCCAGGTTTTATTCTGGGTGGTGCAGTTGTTCCCAGTCCAGCAAAACTGGGTCTAGGGCCTGACTGAGTTAAGCTAGAAGCTGAATTAGAAGAAGAATTGTTTAACGGTAGATTACGAGTTCTGGATGTTCAGGTCTACTAGTTACAATTGGATTAGGTGTAGTAATAATTGAAGAAAAATTAGCATAATCTTCAGGACTAACTGGCCAAGGCTTTCCAGGTTTTATCCTGGGTGGTGCAGTTGTTCCCAGTCCAGCAAAACTGGGTCTAGGGCCTGACTGAGTTAAGCTAGAAGCTGAATTAGAAGAAGGGTTATTTAACGGTGGATTGACGAGTTCTGGATGTTCAGGTCTACTAGTAACAATTGGATTAGATGTAGTAATAATTGAAGAAAAATTAGCATAATCTTCAGGACTAGCTGGCCAAGGCTTTCCAGGTTTTATCCTGGGTGGTGCAGTTGTTCCCAGTCCAGCAAAACTGGGTCTAGGGCCTGACTGAGTTAAGCTAGAAGCTGAATTAGAAGAAGGGTTGTTTAACGGTGGATTAACGAGTTCTGGATGTTCAGGTCTACTAGTAACAATTGGATTAGATGTAGTAATAATTGCAGAAAAATTAGCATAATCTTCAGGGCTAGCTGGCCAAGGCTTTCCAGGTTTTATCCTGGGTGGTGCAGTTGTTCCCAGTCCAGCAAAACTAGGTCTAGGGTCTGACTGAGTTAAACTAGGAGCTGAATTAGAAGAAGGGTTATTGAACGGTGGATTGACGAGCTCTGGATTTTCAGGTATAGTAGCACCAATTTGTATATTTGTAGGAGTAATTGAAGAAAAATTAGCATAATCTTCAGAGCTAGCTGGCCAAGGCATTCCTGGTTTCACTCTGGGTGGTGCAGTTGTTCCCAATCCAGCAAAACTAGGTCTCTGATCTGATTGGGTGACACTAACTACAGAATTAGAAGACGTGATATTATACTGTGCGTTGATGATTTCCGTTAATTGTTGTCCATTGAAAGGATCTTGCTGCTTAGTAGTGTAATAATTAGGATAGTCCTCGGGTCTAGCAGGCCAAGGCTTTCCTGGTTTCACTCTTGGTGGTGCAGTAGTTCCTAGCCCAGCAAAGCTTGGACGCTGTTGAGATTGAGTTAGGCCAATTGTAGGATTGGAAGATGGTTCGGTAAATTGTGTAATCATCGACTGAGTATAATGTGGTCGATTAGTAGCAAGTTGGTCGTTGGTAGTATGTGTTGGATAATAATTAGGATAATCCTCAGGTCTAGCAGGCCAAGGTTTTCCTGGTTTTACTCTGGGAGGTGCGGTTGTTCCAAGTCCAGCAAAGCTTGGTCTTTGCTGTGATTGACTAAAAATAACTGTAGGCTTGGAAGATGGTTGGTTAAATTGTGGATTAAAAGACTGAGTATATTGTGGTCTATTTGTAATAAAATGTTGGATTGCAACAGTTGCAGGGACATAATTGGGATAGTCTTGAGGTCTAGCAGGCCAAGGTTTTCCTGGTTTTATCCTTGGAGGTGCAGTTGTGCCTAAACCAGCAAAACTAGGTCTCTGGGCTATTCGGAGGGTACTTTTAACATAAGGGAATATATTCTTAAATTGTGAGTTAAAAATTGGGATGTCCGAAAAATTGTTATAACTAATTCTATCAGATAAATTGATTGCAGATGTTATATTTGGTAATATTGTTGTTTCTAATCCAGTCAAATTTGATATTAGAAGTTCGGAAGAGGTATAATCAGATGTATTCGAAATATTGTTTAATTTATAAGGTATCGTTGTATCTTGGAACGTTTTAATTGTTTTACTAGTAGAATTGTGATAAGATTCTAGCCAAGATGTTTCCACATCAGGAAGATGTAAGTTATCAGACCAGTCGCTTTTACTGTTAATCAAATTTGTACCTTCATTAAAATTTGTTCTATTTTGTGCAGATAAAATAGTTGTGTCTACTTCAGGTACGACCGTAAATTTCGAGTTATTACCTATAATGCTAATATTATAAGAGTTTTCTGTAGTAAAAGTTTTTTCTGCTTGTATTATAGGAGAATCAGTATTAATAATGTGCATATCCAAAGTTTCGTTCTGATGCTTCTCTTTTAAAATCGGTAGTCTAGTATTTTTTGGTGCTTGTGTTGTTGAAGCTGCTGTCTCCGCTACAGAAAAAACTGGAGATACGATCTGATTGATTTCGTTGTCATTAATTGCGTCGTTTGTTAAATATTGGAATTCTGAGGATTTCTTTGAGGGCAGTACAGTCTCTTTGCCTAAAAATAAATTACTTATAAGATCAGTTTTATGAAATTAGTATACATATATATATATATATATATATATATATATATATATATATATATATATATACTGTATAGAATCACCATGTATTTCCAACCAATACTAATTTCTTTTAAAAAAACTTATTATTTTTGTGAAAAATAAAGGTTTTAATTGAAAATAAACAAGGTTTTGTGGAGCAATTAATGTCTCTAAGAGACATATCTGCTGTGTTAGGCGTAAGCACAGTACATTGTATCAAAAACCTATGCTAGTTATCAGGAATTAGGAATGCTTAACAATAGAAATGAACTAATACAGGATATATGGAGCAAAGAAATAATGCCTGAAGAATAGAAGAAGGGAATTATAGTGACAATCCCAAAACAAGAGACCATAGAATATGCAAAAACTACCGAGCATTAATTTACTGAATGTAACATATAAAGTAATGACTGGTATAATTAGAGACAGACTAACAATATATACAGAACAAAACATAGGAGATTACCAGTACGGTTTAAGAAAAGGAAGATCCACGATATACGCTATACATACGCTAGAATAAGTGATAGAGAAAACATACGAGTACAATGGAGAAATACATATATTTTTCCTAGACGTTAAACAGGCGTTTGACAAACTAAACGACATAGTAGAAATGACAATGCTAGATTTTCAAGCAATAATAGACACCGAAAGAGACAAAACAGAAATAATAAAAATAAGAAATGAGTAAGACAAGAGATGCGCTCTGAACGGTACTATTTATTCTATCACTAGACAAGATAATAAAAAAGCTGTCAAACGCAGGAACTATAAACAAGAATGCAGTACAAATAATAGGATATGCGGACGATATAACCATAGTAGCAACAGATAAAAAGGCATTAAAGAAAACCTTCCAAGAAATAGAAAACGAAGCCAAACTGAGAGGACTGGAAATAAATGAAAATAAAACAAAATACATGAACGTAAGCAAGAAAAAGAAGACACAAATGACAGAACTGACAATAGATGCACACAGTTTCGAAGAGGTTGAAACATTCAAATATTTGGGAGTACTAGTCAACAGAAGAAATGAAAGTGTAGATATGAAAAGAATTCAAGCGGAAATACAGCGTTTTATAGAAATAAAAAAATGTTTAGAGATAAGAAGATAAGCCGAAACACAAAAATGAAAATCTACAAAACGACCATAAGACCAATAGTAGTATATGCTGCAGAAACATTTACATTAACAGCAAGAGAAGAAGAGCAATTGAAAGTTTTTGAGAAGAAGATTATCAGAAAAATACTGGGACCAAAGAGGGAAAACGAAGAGGATGCAAGACAATGGATGAATCACGAAATACAAGAATAGATGGTCAAGAGAACATAGAGCAATAAAAGCACAAAGAATTAGATGGTATGGACACATAATGAGAAGAGAGAAGAGCAATCCGTTAAGAGTTATAACGGAATGGATACCACCAGGTAAAAGAACCAGAGCAGACCTAAACTGAGATGGAGACAACAAGTGGAAGAAGACTTAAGAAGTATGGAAATTAGAAATATAGAAAGGACAATTAAAGAAAGAGAAGAATGAAAACAGCGTCACACTTGAAACTGTAAAGCCAAACCCAGAATGGAGTGATCCCCCACACAAAAAGAATCTTCAAGTGAAAATAGGTTTAGCTTGTTCGGGAGCATACAGCTTGTAGGTATATATATATATATATATATATATATATATATATATATATATATATATATATATATAACAGATAAGAACAGAATGAGACAAATTCGCCAAAAACTAACAACTACTCACCACGATCGTTTCGTTGTCTAAGTAGCTAGAAGAGACCCAACAATTTCTCACCCGCGATTCCAAAGGCAACTTTTGGAACTTACACAGGTAAAAGTGTTTCAGTTGAAACGATAAAAAAGACTTTATCTCCGAAGACTATAAAGCAGTTAACAGTTAAGTTATCCAGGCAGCACAAGGTTAATCGCTTAAAATTGTGTCTTCAACACTTAAATTAGAACATAGCCGACGAATTCGTGTACTTAGAGGAAGACAAGAAAGATCAGAAACTGACAGATATGTTTACATATATAAAGAACGAAGTTTCATGTTTTGAAGAGTTATTATGATCGGTGAAAAAACTCCTTTAGTTTCCATCCAACCTTCTTTTACAGCTTGCAGGTATGTGATTTAGTTCTAAAACTTTTAGTTAGGCTTTGAAAAGGTGCAATGGGAGAAGATTTAATTTTCATGCATAATCACGAACCTCCACATACCACCAGAGTCACTAGAAACTTTCTTGAAGCAAAAGATATCACTGTTCTGGAGTGGCCTGTTTCCTCACCCGACCTTAACCCTATAGAGCAATAAAATTGTAAGATACGCTTAAAGGAATAAATCTATACAACACTGTGATATGGAGCACAACACTGTCTTCAAGAGCAGCTATTACAAGCTGCTCTTGAAAAGTGTAACAGCCTACCACAACAAAATACGTACAATTTGTTTAGGAGCATGCCCACATGAATTGAAGCTTGCATAAGGACAATGGATGGTTACAGTGACTACTAAAAACAATAAATAAAAAAAATGTAAACAGTAGTCGTTTAACATTAAAATTTTTTGGGCTATTGACGTTAAAACAAGTGGTTTCAGTTTATTCTTTGACTTTGTATGTTTTTTTTATAATTCGCTTGAAATTATTAGAAATATCAGATGATTCTGTAGAAGTTTGGTTATGTATATTTCTTTAACAGTATAATGCAAACTCAAGACTACTTAATTATAAAAAAAACTTCAAGATATAACATAACTATATGACATTCAGAACCGTCAAAAGATTCAACTGTGTTATCAATAATCTTAAATGAGATCGGTTGGTAATTACATATTATATTTGTGGAATTAAAAGTGTAAAAATTAGACGTCTAGCTTTTTCCATTTTATTACTTACTGTAATTAAACTGTTACAAAAAGTGGAAGTAACGGGCCAAGCCTTCCAAACCACTTATACCCAATAAATTCTCGGTGAATCATAAACTTGGGCATTTCTTATAGATTGTGACAAATCGTAAAATAAAAAGGAGGTTCTTAAAAATCAATTAGTAAGTTAAAGTTCCACTAAAGAGATATCAGCACTGCTAGAATAAAACAGGCGATTAGTACCGCCCCTCAGAACCGATTTCTTTAATAAATAACCACCTTCGCAATGTAGAACCAAAATGGTTTTAAAAACTTTTAATTGTGATATAAAACACTTTAACTGGCTGTTTTTTATCTCATCATTTGAAAAATAAGTTCAATTGTTTCATCTGGCTGCTCCGCATTATTCACCCAGGTACATCAGGTCGACTTTCTCTTCAAGACCAAATTAGAAACTTTCATAATTGATTAATTTCTTTGTTATTATTATATACTATTCTTTTTCTTAACGTGCCCTATCAAGTCCCCTTGACGTTGGCGATTAACATGGCGAAACTGTCTCTGTCTCGAGCTATTTTAAAGAGTTGCTCAGCTTTCTTTATTCCTGTCCACTTTCTGATATTCTTCAACCAAGAGGCCTGCTTTCTATCAATTCCTCTGCGTCCTTCGATTTCACCACTTCTCTTTCCGGGAGCCAGTTTTACACTGTTTCAGATACCACAACCTCGTTTTGTTTACAATTTGAACATCGGACAATATTATTGGTTATTTGACGTGCCCTTTCAGCACAGCTTTTATGGAAAGCACTTTTTTTGCAAATACTGCGTAATATAGCTTTTAATACTAACACTAAAGTTGTATTGCATATGTTTTATCTCCAAAATCTTCTTCTTTTTTCCCAATACAATTTACATTATGTCTGAACGAAGTGAGTATACTTTTCGTTAGATATCATAAAATGATTAGGATTGAACATGAACAGGTTTGCTGAAGATGAAACCAAATTTAATTATTTTCAGAAGAACGTGTGACTTTGATCGCTTATGAATTCAATTGAAAGAAAAAGAACTGTTAAGTGGTTATCATATGCTAATCAGTAATGTACTGAAGACGTTGGTTTTTAATGGCTAAAAATAATCAAAGACGAGGACTGATGAAGCAGTCTCGTATTGCTGTGAAGAGCAGAATTTTTAAGCTTAGATCAAAAATATACACATAAAGAACTATACAAGTTTATTTTTATACATGAAACTTGGACTTTTCAGGATAGATCTATATGTCGCTCTGGCAAGATGCGAATAAAAGAAGTTTAGAATCTATTTAAACTTATGGAAACGGTAATATATTTAATCGTGTTGAAAACGTAGAGGTGTTGAAATAATTTTTTTTTTTTGAAGATATATTATTTTTCATGCTGGCAATGAAATTGGCTTTATTAAGGGTGCAGATGCTATATTTTCCCCTAAATCAGCTTAAGCGGACTACCATGGGGAAATGAATCAAACAAATTTTTTTATCGTGGTTTGAAAATCGACTATTAAAAAGTTTGTCTGAACCATTCCTAATTAAAGTGGACAACGCTCCATACCACAGCATATTGTTAGAAAAAGCACCTAACACATCTTTAACCAAGACTGAAATAAAAGATTAATTAAATAACCAGATCGTTGGGCAGTAAGTACGCCTAATGAGACTTTAGTTCAGGTTATTAATATTTATTTTTAGAAACAAGTCAGCTCCAAAATATATTGTTGATTGATTTAGCAGAACAATATGGCCAGAAAACGTCTGCCAGAAAACCATTGGATTTTCAATGTTAGAGAATAAATATGGGGAATTGCCAAAAACTTTTATAACACACAGGAAACTATTTTTTTCTAAAAAAAACATAAGATGGATGAAAAAAGTAGAAGAAAGACTAAAATATGGGAAAAGTAGCATGTTCTAGTATGTAACTTTTAGGCACCACACATTTTTTTACAATGTTCACAAATCCTATAGACCATCATATTCATAATTGTAATGATGTATCGATCAGATTAAAATCAGGCCAGAAATTAATTCCAGAAATTACCCTATATTAAGTTAAAACGGCACTTTTAGAAATGAAAAATAACAAATTCCTGGCGATGACATACTAGTGATCGAAGCGATTAAACTAGGTGGAAATAAAATTCTCGAGGCTTTGACCAAGCTATTTACTGATATATAAACTTTTCACAAAAATTATCAAAAAAAGGCTAAACGCTAAATTAGACTTCTATCAGTCTTGAGAACAAGCTAAATTTAGATCGAGATACAGCACTAACGACCACTTACTAGTAATAAAGAACCTGATAGAGAAGTCTGCAGAATACAACAAACCATTGGCACTAATATTTGTCGACTACGAGAAAGCATTCGATAGCATAAGCCATCAGAAAATGTTAAAAGCATTGACAGAATGCCGAATAGATCATCGCTACACTAACATAATCAAATATATCTACCAAAATTCCACAGCTAGCGTAAGACTATCTGAACCACAAACAAATAAATTCTGTATACAGCGAGGAGTACGGCAAGGAGACACAGTCTCTCCAAAGCTATTCACGACGCTTTTAGAACATACTTGTAAGAAGACACATCTGAACGAGCATGGCATCAACATAAATAGAGAAAAGCTTGGAGGTCAGACTAAAGATTATTATGAAGAAGACGCAAATAATGATTAATCTGGTGCTGAATCGAAATATTGCTGTTGATGGAAGGGATATTGTGCAGACTACAAACTATGTATTTACATCGGATCTACCCATATGCTCAAAAGGAAAATTTTTGACCAATGTGTGTTACCTGTACTCACTTATGGAGCAAAAACATTAATACTCACAAAAAAGGTAGTTAATAAGATTTGCGTGACTCAGATGGCTATGGAGCGCCAGATGTTGGGTCTCTCTCTGAGAGACCGAATCCCAAACGAAATACGTCGTAGAACAAAAACAACAGACGCTATCAAAAAAATTGCGTCGTTAAAATGGAATTGGGCAGGATACGTCGCCAGATTATCAGACAACCGATGGACAAAACGTATTTTAGAGTGGAGACCAAGGCAAGAAACAATACGGAGCAGAGAACGCCCACCAACTAAATGGACTGACGACCTGAAGCGTGTTAGCAATAACTGGATGCAAGCCGCACAAGACAGAGATAGATGAAAAGAGCTAAGGGAGACCTATGTCCAGCAGTGGACCCATACAGGTTGATGAGTATGATCGATCAGAAAACTGAAACTTAAATAAAGCTACTTAAATAAAGTAACTAAGTAATGAAAAAAGTATTCAATTTGACTTCTTTATACTAAACAAGCGGCTTAAATTGTTTTTAACGTAAGATTATTACTTAATTTTTGTTTTTTATTTCTAATTTTTGTATTTATTTACATTGAATATTAGTTTGTTTTGTTCTATAATCTATTTTTGCAATAATTAGTACACAGTTATTATCCATTAAGAATTTCTTTATTCCTCTAGTTCATAATATTAAAAGTTATTTTGTTTTTAGGCTTTCTATCAGCTGGTACAACTAATGCTCTACAACGTGATATTTGGACAGTCCTTGTTTTTTCAGTTTTTACTTTTACAGTATTGTGCGAATTAATGGAATCACTGTGAATGTTTTTTCATTTTTTCAATATCTACAGTTGGCAACACTACCTACACAGTTGACAGTTGACCAAGCAGTGAAAACATAACCTTACTGTGTGTTGGTGTGTTTGAGTGTGTTTTAGGTCATTTCTTATCAAGCTTGTGTTGTTTTGGGGGTTTTTGTGCTATTTTGTGTTGTTTTTGGCTTTATTCCAACATGGATATTACTCCTAGGAAGCGTGAAAAGATTGTCACGTTGAGTGAACACACTAGTATGTCACAAAGAGAGATTGCTAGAACGTGTGGAGTGAGTCAGGGGGTAGTAAGCAAAATTTTGAAGCGTAAACGAGAAACGGGATCAGTGGATGTGAAAAGGTTAGGAAAATGTGGAAGAAAGAGAAAAACAACACCAGCAGATGATAGATTTTTACTTCGAAAGAGCAAATTGAACCCAAGAAAATCAAGCCAAGACCTACAACAAGATCTAGCAGTATCAGCTATAGTGATTCATGACTCAACTGTTCGTAGAAGACTTTTGGAGAATGGTAGAAGGGCAATTCGTCCACAGAAAAAACATCTTCTAACTGAACGAATGAAGAAACAAAGGCTACTGTGGGCAAAAAATACTCTAATTGGACTGTAGGCGACTGGAAAAAAGTCCTATTTACAGATGAAACCCACTTTATAGTTTAGGGACAGCGGTCGAAAGTGTTTGTGTATTTAATACAATGTAGTTTAAGTTTACTAAATAAAAATAAATACTATTTTTTCAATGCAGTGGATTAAAGATAAGTAGTCACAAACAATAAATTACCCATTTTTTCAAAATAAAGATAAGGTGACATTCCTTGTTTTTCCTTAACCCTTCAAATCCTTTTTTGATTTTTATTTTATAGTGACTTTTTTATTGTGTTTCTATATTCATGAGTTTGTAATTTTTTTGTAATTTACTGTCATTTTTGTTGTATCAAACTGTAATTTTAAAGCTTTATATATACTTAATTTTTATATGTTCCTATATTATATATAATATATAATTGCATATCTTTACATTTAAATATTATTGTCAAGTAAATGATAATACAAAAATGTAACAATGAACTTATGTAGTAGTTCTTTAATACCTAGTAAAATTTGGTGGTTAAAACATATCATTGGTCCGCGGGCCAAAAAAGGTGAGAAACGTTGCTTTAGAATATGAATCGTCGATATAGACAAGCAGTTTTTCCGTCTTTAAGTCATTTTAATTCATTTGTTTCAGTTATATTTTCATATATTTAGTAAAAAAAATGATTCAACCAATTAATATTACTTTGTTTTACTATAAAAATTCACTCACCCAGACTATTCGTATCTTCAACGCATAAACAGAACAACCACCAACAGTATAACAACGAGGGAAATTCCATCTTTTAACTTAAGGCGACATTAAAAGCCGAACTGATTGTTGAAGAAGTCAAAGAACTATTGGCACACGCTGCTTGGCACAATAAAGCAAATAAAAAATACGCGAGAAGAAACAGGTTGGATGGCAAAGAATTTATCGTTGTAAATATGTACCGTTTTGTGTTACAAATGCATTATTTATTCGCATGTATATAAATTTGGTATGATACCGTAATTTTCTTTCGGTTTTGGTTCATTAATAGTATGCTTGATTAGAGATGACATTATTGATAGTAATAAGAGTTTACCTTCTATTTTTGTAAGTAGAAATAACTTGTGTAATGGTACAACAAAATCATTTTACCACCTACCTCTGTCCAAAGTATATATTTCTTGGCCTCATTATAGGAACCACAGTCGTACTTTTTCTTTTTATGGAGTCAAAGTAGAGGAAAGGATGCAAATATGGGCTACCCATTTTGTATTTATTTATAAAAAAAATAATAAAAATGCTATTTCAATTCCAAAGGTACTCGTACATTCCAGCGCACTCGTTATGTCCCCACAAATAGCACATGAAACACTTGACCTATATTTCAACAAGATTATCGTCTTAAAAAGTAAATTTTTTTTTGAACATCCCATTTATTTACAATCTGTAATAAGGATTACAATAAGTAAATTGTTTAATTAAATTACAAGAGACTTGCAGGAGAAAAAAAGAGCTTCGCAAAACATACACGTTATGTCAGCTGCGTCTTGTGAAGGCTGTGTAGAAGGAAACTCATTGTAATCGCTCTCATCATCTGCAGGCACATATTTCTCCTCATCCTCGCTAGTAGAACACGATTTCTTTTTTTGTGTCGTTGTTACTTTGGTAACCTGCTTATGTTTTCCTTTTTTTATTTCTTTCCCTTTTCTTTTTTCTGTACCTTTTTCTACTTCGTTTTGCTCCCCTTTGTCTTTGTCGAGAAATTGGGTGAATTCATTTTTGTAAGGTAAAGAGGTTATCACTGAACACTTACTTGGCTTACGCCCACGATTGGAGGTTTTTTTCTTCAATAATGGCACAGGAGAAAGATCATATGGTGTTAGCAGAGATGTTCTTGACGACCCATACGTGGAAGGAATTGATGGAGTGAGCTTATTCTCAAATAGTTTCTTTTTACATCAAGCTCTACACAAGGTCTTCTGGAAGGCGTGGCACACTTTCTGTAAAAGCTTGTTGTGGAAATAGCGACAAGCTGTGAACTAGTTAAAGAAATAGCATCAAGCTGTGTATTAGTTTAAGAAATAGTTTCAAGCTGTTTATTAGGCCCAGATGGAAGAGTGGGAAAATTGGATGATAAATTATTGTAGCTGGAACGACAATCTGGTGTGCTCTCAGAATTGATAGAGTTATCGTCAAAATTTGTAGGTTCATTTGAATTGACAGCAGCGGTTGAAAACGACAATCAACTTATCATATTCATCACTCGCATCATCAGGTGCAGCTGTCGAAGTATTTTCTGCTTTAATTTCAGCTGCCATGAAGTCGACATATGTAAATACATTTTTACTCAAATGATAAATTACTGTAGCTCTAAATCCTTTTACGGCAATCTCTCCAGTTTGGCACTTAAAATAAGCTCTCCCAAAGAGCACTGACACATCAAATGCACTTAGTGGACGATTATTGTGGCGCAACCAGACCCTGATCCCTTCGCTGTAGTAATCCTTAAGAACACCAATGTAAGTTTTGTCCAATGGCTGGAGTTTGTGGGTGCAATGGGGAGGCAAGACAATTATAGTGACATGATTATCTCTAGCTAAATCTATGACTTCTATATTATGTGTATGGCTGTAAGGACTATCCATAATCAGCAGAACTGGTGATGTTTCTGTGGGTTTGACTGAGTCAATGAAATGTTGAAACCATCTTGTGAAAATATTGCTTTGTATCCATCCACTGGGATGTACTGCCTTAATGGCATCTAGATGAGCTGCTTTCATCAGTTGCTGGTTAATATTTTTACGTGGGAATATCACCATTGGTGGGATGATCTGGCCAGCAGCGCTCATCGATCATGTCAATATGACGGTTATCAGAGAGCCCTTTCAACAGAAGTTAATGATGCAATTTGTCGTCTCCCTTTTCGGCCTACTCTATGTGCAATCTTGTTTAGTACAACTGTAAGACTTGTCTTGTCCACAGTAAAAATACATTCAGGTGGGTAAAAGCGTTTGTGATATTCTTTTTCCAGAACATTGAAGAAGGATGCGGCATTTTCTTTGTTAAAACCTCTTGCTTATGAATATGATGTTCCCATTGGTCGTCGTACTGATAGCTCTTTATGACGTTGCAGGAAAAACCTAAGCCAGATTCTAACTGCCATATTACCCCTAAACTGATGTTTAATATTGTTTCTGAAAGCTAAGACGTACGCCATCCTCCTAAGATCTTTTCTGGTTAATCCATGAAATTTAGCTTCTATTTCAAAATCTAACGAACTAACTCGTTCTCTAGATCATTGCCTAAGACAGCTTAATGCCCTAACTTTATTTGAGCAGCTACTCTAATGTAGATTTCAAGAAAATTTTTTTTTTTTTTTTTTTTTTATTAAATTTGCAAATTTACAATCTGCTATTACAAGCTATTAGTAAATGTGATTATTGCAAATACATGAGAGGAGAAATTATCCATTGATAACACTCCCAATACCAACACTAACAAATTAAATTAATGTATGATTATAATTTAAAACTAAAATTGAGATGAAAAGTAAAATTAAAATTGAAATTAGTGAATAAAGTCTGTTGGCCACTGTCTCTTCAATCTTCGTCTGACTTCTGGTTGGAGGTGTAGTTGTCTTGCTTCCTCGTTGGGGTGGGTTGGCAGATGTTCTAAATAATTTCTTGTTAGTCTGCTGATTTCGTCTTCAACGAACGGTATACCAGAGTCATCATGCAGAGTTTTGTTACTAACGTACCACGGCGCGTTGAAAATCATTCTGAGTATTTTGGATTGGATTCTCTGAATGATTTTGGTATTAGAAGGCTTTGCACAGCCCCATAGTTGCACTCCATATGTCCATATAGGCTTTATTATGCACTTATACAATAGAAGTTTATTATCTGTTGATAACTGTGATTTTCGGCCTATTAGCCAATTCATTTGACGTATTTTCATGTTGATTTGGTTCTTTTTGGCCAAGATGTGTGCTTTCCAAGTGAGTTTTTGATCAAGTGTCATTCCCAGGTATTTGACTTCTGTTTTTACTGGTAGTAGTATATTGTTCAGTCTGATTCTCGGACATATGATGTTCCTATTGGTGAATGTAATTTGATTAGACTTATTATGGTTAACTTTGATTTTCCATCTATTCATCCAGTCTTGTACTAGGTTCAGGTGTATTTGAAGGTTTCCTGATGCTACTTGGGGGTCATCATCGATGGATATTATGGCGGTGTCATCTGCGAACATGGCTACTGTGGTCGTATTTGTTGTTGGGATATCAGCAGTGTATATGAGGTACAGGAGGGGACCCAGGACACTTCCTTGAGGGACACCGGATTTTATGGGATAGTAATGAGAGGTTTCTGTAAGGAATTTGACTTGAAAGTAACGTTCTGTGAGGTATGATTTTAAAAGAAGATAGTGAGGGGTGGGAAAGGATGACTTAAGTTTATATAGGAGGCCGTCATGCCAAACACGGTCGAAGGCTTGTTCTATATCCAGGAAGGCAGCAGTGCAAATTTTTTTCTCTTCGAGGCATACATTAATGTTTTTTACAATCCTATGGCACTGTTGTAGAGTTGAATGGGCTTCGCGGAAACCAAACTGGTGGTTTGGGATCACTGAATTAATTTCGATGTCTTCTGAGATTCTTTGGAGCAGAAGTCTTTCAAAGATTTTTGACATTATTGGAAGTAAGCTGATTGGTCTATATGAAGTAATATTATTTGGTGGTTTATTTGGTTTACTTATCATAATTATTTGTGCAAACTTCCAATTAATCGGGTAGTAGGCTAATCTTATGATACTATTATATATCATTGTTAGTAGGACAATTGCTTTTCTCGGTAATTTTTTTAATATTAGCCCGGTGATCATGTCGAAGCCTGGTGCTTTGTAGTTATTGCATCTAGAAATTTGTTCTTTTACATTATTAGGAGTAAAGAATTTGATTGGTAGCATCATTGGGCATGGAGTGTCTAAAAAGTTTTTAACTTGTTCTTCGTCATTATGGTTATTAAGTTCAGGTGCACCAAAAACGTGTGAGAGATGAGCAGCAAAGATTGATGCCTTTTCTTGTTCAGTTTTACCCCAGCTTCCATCGTCTTTCCTTAGAGGTGGTATGTGCTGTGTAGGCCTCTTGAATGATTTCGTTGCTTTCCAGATGCTGTGGTCTTCTTTTGACAGGCTGTCGATGAATAGTTCAAATGTATCATTCCTCGCGTCTTGTAGAGCAGTTTTAAGTTGCCGTGTTAATCTATTGTATTCATTTTTGTCTATAGGATTGCGACTTCTTTGCCATATGCGCCTGGCTCTTCTTTTTTGTGCTACAAGACGTTTTATATACACGGGTATATTGGTGTCACTTGGTTCTTTGTCATTCTGAGGGGGTGTAGCTATTTCTGCGGCTGCATGTATAGTTTGGGTGAGAATAAGCACAGCGTTATCGATATCGTCTGGTTGCTTTAATCTTATATTTAAATTTAAATTTTCATTTATGTAAGACTCGAATACATTCCAGTTGGTCTTTAATGTTGTTAACTTAGGGATATGCGGACGTTTTATAATTTGCGTAGATAGTGTTACAATTATGGGAGTATGGTCGGTGGACAGATCCCAGGATGGTTGTATGTCAAAATAATTTAAGGCCATGTTATGAAGGATAAAGAAGTCAAGTAGATCTGGGATTTTGTTTGGATCTGATGGCCAGTAGGTGGGTTGCCCTGTAGATAAGTAAGAGCTGTTTGTATTAGCTATGGCTTGCCTAAGATTTCTTCCCTTTGTCGTACATAGTCTCGACCCCCAGTC